GAGAAAATCAGCATTGAGGATATGGATTAACTTCGACAGAAGGAAACACTGAAGAAGAAACTTTAAGAGTGGTTTTGACTATGTGAAGGTGGGTAGTAAAATTATAAGTAGTGTAAAGAAAGTGAATGCGACTAGTAGAAGAATTGGGAGAATGTCAAATAAAATAAATCAAGTTGGGTGCCTACAGGGAAACTGGGTAACTAATTGCTACAGGATGTTTTGGATACCAAAATAGGATTTGGCTGAAAAAAAATAAAAAGACCAGATATATTCACAAAGAGAAGTACATCTACGGCTCTTAAAGATGGCACTTGTCACTGGTAGTCCCTGAGTCATAGATTGGTGGATGATCAGCGTTCGTACCAGAGATGTATTAGTGCATGTATGTCCTCTTAGGCTCTTCTCAGAGCTTCGGCTGCTAGCTGTGATTGGAGACAGGCTCCACAGGACTTTTTTTTCTAGCCTAGTACAGTCATTCTTAGAATTTTAGAGAAAGAACCTCTGCTATGAACCAAAAAGGGAGGAGAAAAAAGGAGCTGGGAAAGGAAGAGAATGGTAATCTCTGTCTGCATCCCATTTATGGGTCATCAGCAATGAAAAAGATATTCCTCTATCTTTGGCTGCCCTCAGAGCAAGATAGTGAGAAGATCAAACAGCTGCACGTCTTGTGGCCTTAAGTACATTATTTGATAGGTGTCATAAGATTTCTTTAACTGAAATAATTTTTAATGCTTTGGTTTACAGTACAGCCCCAAACCACCACGGCAAGTGAGAGTGCAGTAAATTATAGAAAGGAGACAAGGTTGAATAAGCTGTGATGGGAAACTGTTCTTATTTGTAAACTGAAAGCAAAATCATTCTGCTCTTCTGCATAACTGAAGTGAGGAAAAAAATTGTACTTAAGTATTTTGGGATACGGTCACTTCAAATTAAAGCAGACAGGTAAAATAAGAAATGGGTCAACAGAAAGTGATTGTTAGGAGGGATTAAGAGATGATTTTTGCCCCTTTTCTAGCAGACTGATTACTACTCTGTCCTGTGCCTATCTTTGTCAGATTTAGCACTTTTGTCATTATTCTGAGTCAGTAGCAACAGCAGGAAATAACAGAAATTTTGCCAGCATTGTTGTCAAAGCTAAAATCCTGGACCATGGAAGAAGTTGCTTTACCCGAGGAACTAATGGCCTACAGTTCTAGTTGAACTCATTAAACCCATGTGAAGATGAAGCCATTTTCCCAAGGGGCTTTGCATTTTTATTTCCTCAGTAATAATTTATAAATTATCCTCTTAAGAATTCTGTAATGGTTGCTCAGTGTCAACAGCTATAACTTTGAAGTGAAGCATACTGAATGCAAACTTGAAAATCAAGAAAAAGTCCACTTCACAAAATATTTTCTCAGCATTCCTGAGTCTGTCTCTTGTACTATGTCAAAGAAATTATTTAAGGCTTCTCTTTCCCTGTGCAGGAGTGCAAGAAGACTATGACTGCCTGAAGCTGAGATAGGTGAGGTTTTTTTATGTCAACCATAACTCTTGTCACACTCAACAATATGTAGTCCATAAGTAAAATGCAGAGAATGAGTCTCTAAAACTAAGAAGTCCCTTTAAAGTATTTCCTTTCGTACTTTGCAGCTGAGCCCATAGCTGCAAAACAGATGACTTTTGAAAGATGGAATGTTTTTTCATCAGCTTCCAGAGTGCTGCCTGCTCCCAGCAAAGCCGTGTCTTGCACCTTACAGTGCCTCACTACTCATGCCAGGTCACACGAGACAATCTTACAGCAGATGTGGCAGGAGGTAAGCTGAAGGAAACAGCTTCATAGCTCTCTTACAGCTGTGTCACACAGATGGGAGTGTGCTTGACTCGCCCAGCAAGCCTGACAATGAGAAGGTAATGATCCTTTTAGCTGTCTTGGTAGGTCAACCTCTGAACTGCTCATGTTTTAGACAGTGTAGGTGCCCCTCAGAATGTTTCTGGGGAACACTGAAAATTTCCTCTTACTTGAAACAGATCAATAATAATGAAGTGCTTTTCATCAGGAAACGTAGCTCAGTCAAAGCTGTTGGACAGTGCAGGATCTAGAGGTAGCTTTGTCAGCTGACAACAGTGCCTAGCATTTTCAGCCAGCCTTACTGCTGCTGCTTCTCTACATCTTTCTTTCCCTGCACAGTTTTATCGCCTCTCCAGACTTCACTCAACACCTGCCTTGACACCATTCCAGCCCCACGCTGACTTACATTATTCAGTCTTCCCCAAACTAGCAATGCTCCGGGTCTGAAAAGACGGGCAAAGAGTACAATCCACCTGGCAGCACATGTTCTCCCCTCATGGTGGTCCTAGTTTCCCTTACTCGCAGCTTCAAGTCTGGTAGCACTACTGCTGCCTCCACAATTCAATCACCAAATAAGAACTGCAGTTCTATGCAGGAATTTGTTGCAGAGATTCTTGTCCCTGTTGGATTTATGGAGTATTGAATTTGTTCCTCTTTAGTTGCTCACCTGTTACAAGTCTTTGATGTTGCATGCCTCCCTTCTTTCAGTAGAACTGACTTTTAGCAGATAATTGACTTACCCTTACCATTCATTCAAAAGGAAGAGGCTCTGCACAGTGTATATACTGAAACCATTAAGCCAGGCCTGTCAGTCTTTATTTCTGATACAGTTCTGCCAAATGCTTTCCTTTTGGCAAGTGCCTTTGCAGCCATTAAAAAAAAATAAAAAATGTTATGCAAATCTAAAATAAATTTGCATTTTTTTAAGACCATGAATGAAAATGCTTTGTTCTTATATTTTCTTGATGTATGTCCTTGGTATACAAATATATCGATTTTTGTACAACGTGATTACTTTGTTAGAAGGTGACAGGGAGGACTTTATTGTCTAACTGTGAAATAAGGCTACAGTCACAAAAGGGAAGTGGCAGTTGTAACACTGAATATTTTGTTCCAGGTCACATAAAACACCTAAGTACCCCCATAATGAGGGCTTACCCTTAAGCTGCTGTCTTCTCTCATGAACACGTAACTTAATAGGCCAGTCCAGCAGGTTCGCACAACTGGCTTTTCAAATGCAGAGGTTGACACAGGTTCTGAACTGGCTTTGTTTTCAGTAAGAAAGAATCGGATACAAACATGTCAGTAAAATATATGTTTACATGGGAGACTAAAGCTGCATGACTAACCTAAACTTTGTGAGACTTTCGAAGATGTGTGTGCTGCTTTCAGTAACTCTTTTTAAACATACTGGAGACTGCATACAGCATCTTTCATCTAAGGACAGATTGATATATATGTTAGTATGTACTTAAGAGACACAGAGATACCCAAGGTACCATAAATAAATGGCAGTGGCCAAAGTTCACTTTTACAGAAGCATAACATTTTGGGAGAGCATTGTACTGCTATTTAACTGTTGAAAATGGAATGACCAGAAGCACATCAAACACACCTCAGAAAGCCTGCATCTGTCTTGTCTGTCTCGCAGTTTAAACTTGTTTCCTGTTCAGTACTTGCAGGGTTCACAAGAAGGCCATATATCGCATTCCTCTTTTTTCCCTCTTTCATAACCAAGGCTTAACATGTCTCTTTACATCTGCTGCAGTTTTAGCATTATCTACTAATGGCTTAGCAGATGAATAATATCTAACAATCACAAGCTTGACCTGACTTCTCACTACACCTAAATCTATGTTTATTTTGTTCAGTGGCTGGTATTATAGTACATCATACGCAGTTCCAGTTGTTAATTTGCTAAGAATTCATGGCAGTTAGTGCACTGATAGGGGAAAGCTTTGATCTTACTGTTTGTGCTAGGTTTAGACACATTTCAGTGTGCACAGATAGATTACCTCAGCCTGAACATGTCGGCAAATTATGGCTTTATATTCTTTAAGTGATAGTCCTTTGTTCTGTGCTCAATGCTCATGAATGTTAAGTGCCCTTGCTGGCATCGCCAGCCTGACACTATAACAGTTACAAGTGTCTCAGGCAAAATGCCTATATTCAGCTTTGAAGGCACAGAGGGAAATTCTGTGGAAGTACTGTTTCTTCTGGTGAAGGAATGCTAAAAGGGTCATACAACAGTCCCAGCAGCCAGTCTTCCACTGCATAGAAAGATGACATCAGAACTGTTAAGACCACAGCCTGGAAGTTAATTTGTTCTTCCTTGTAGAAACATCATTCATGGTTAACATTCAGAAGCATTGCCTTCAAAGATGACTTTCTTTTGTATGACTGTTTCAAGAGCAAAGGTTAGTTTTTAAATGTGACTAGCTATCATACTGCTGTTTTCTAATACAACAGGTATTAGGTACCTGCCTGACCTGAACTATTGGAGTAGTTTTATGAGAGGCCTGTTCAATTTTAAGATCCCTGGATGCTTTCTAAAAGTTTCACTCCAGTTCCACTACAAACTGTTACTTACCTGCATCACCCTTGGCAGATCAGGCTGACTAAGCAAAATAGTCCCCAGATGCCATTCTGCATAGAGGAATGCAACCAACTGCCAGATGCAGAAGTGAAACGGGCAGGAAAAAGCTCACCAAATTGCAAGGAGAGAAAGCGGACCATTGCTTCTACCACAGATTGGAAGTTGGGGACTAATCCAGCTATGCAGAAGCCTGTGAAACCATCCCATCCCTGAGGATGTTCAAATCTAACATAACTTACCAGGTAAAAGTGGTACAAACATGTTGAAAAACTACAGAATCCTCCCTAGCAGCTCTTGTTTAGAAGAGAAAAATTCCTCACCCAGTCATTAAAGGAGAGGCTGGAGGAAGTTGGCATCTTGGGTAGCCACAGGCTTGTTTGGTAAAGAATACAGAGCCTCAAATTAGAAGACTATGACATAGCATGCTTTGTGTCCTACTCTTGATTACTATTTGTGAGAAGGGATACTAAATTCCTAACATAACTTAATGAAGGGAAAGGGTAGCAAGTTACAGCCAGGGGAACGATGAGTAAGATTACACCATAAACTAAAGAATGGGTCCAAACACAGCAGCACTAATATAGAGATTTTATTTCAATTGTATTGAGTTGTACAGCACATTTTGTTTGTCACAATGCTATCAAACTGATTTTAGAGTTTTTGGCCAGCACATTGTGACACTGAAACTCACAAGAGCTAAAAGCAGTTTGGACTAATGGCCTGAACGGAAGAGCCAGGAGTACCTAGTTTCTGGCTTCCTTATTGCTTGCAGTCATTCCAACATGTGCAAAACAGGAACAAATCCAAATTCTTCTGCCAGCCCAATGGTTACTCTTCCATGTCTGGCAATGACTGCAAGGTACAAGGCAAGGGAGAATCTGAAGCAAGGTGCCTTCTCTTCCCAAAGCCATATTGGTTGTTCCCAGTATGGAAAAGAAGCAGAGTCCAAGTAAGCACAGGGTCTTCAGATGATGCTAGCTTTACTTGCACTATTGGGACTTACAAAACCAGAGGCTGACATATCAAAGTATAGGAAAGGGTCATTATTCCATTCCCTCTGATAGAGATGACAAACCAATAGCAAAAAATCTGGGAGATCACAACAGCATGAAGTACTTTGCCTTGTTATTAGACCAAATGCCCTCACAAGTACTCCCTTCCCAACATATAAAGTCTCAGCTCATGACATATTACAGAATACATAGTACATTTTTATATTGTTGGAAAGAAAATTGCATTTCTGTAAAGAAATGTCCCATGTTCAAACGCTTCTTCCTAAAGCAGAAAGCTCACCCAAAGCCCACTTTTTTCCTAACCCCAGTTCAATTGTTAACTTTTTTTATTTTTGGAATGAGTTGGGATTTCCGTTCTCTAGTTTAATGAACAAGTAGAGAGGCAATTACAAGTTGGCAACTCTGAACTTCGACCACTGTACAGGCAACAAAAAAAGATGTCAAATTCAAGAGGCATTTTAGGTAGCACTGGGGCAAAACAGAGATATTGTTTCCACCACTGAACAGATGCCACATGTCATGTTTATCACTGTAGCTTGGTTGTACATCCTGAAGTGAAAAGCACAGACTGTAGTGTCTATGTCAGCCAGTGTCTTTCCCCACCCCCATTTTGGTATCTGCTTCATTCTCCCTTCTTCGGGTTACATTAAGTGCACAGAAATATATAGCAGCATTTGGACTGAAACCCTCACATACACCAGACAGCACATTCCAGGAGGTAAAACAACACATTATGGCCTATACCCTCAAGGTATCAAGTTTTCAGGATAAAGAGCAGTAGGAAGTGGAGAGCTGAGGGCAGAAAAGGGGAGGAGGAGCAACACAGGAACACAAGTTCTGTTTCCATGCCAGGAGAAGATCAGGGTGCCATTCCTGTGTTAGCACCAGGCTGTGACACTACTGCAGACAAAGCAGACGGGCAGAGCAGGAAGTGAAAAAGCCAATCTCCCATCTCCCCACATTGTTGCAGGGCAGGGACAGTCAAGTGCATTCACCAATCCTAGTGGAGCATGAAAACGGGTGAAATCTGCTCAGCCCGTTTTCAGCCAGAATGAATTTCTCTTCAATGCTCAAGAGAAAATCAATTAGTGATGGCTAATGAGTCTTGTTCACCAAGCTGATCACAAATCACACTCATGGAAAGAGAATCTACAGACCTGCTCCAGGCTGAGACCCTTTCAAAGCACATGGTACCACCTAGAGTCTGCCCTCTTCCTTGTACAGCAGCTTGCCTTTGTTGGGGGAATTGGTTCTAAACATGCCTTTCTATTGCTTTGGGGGTACTTTGCACAGGCAATATCTGTGAAAACATTGCTTTCCAGCCCACAAAAGAAAGAGGTTGCAATCCCCTCTTTAGCCCTAGGTAATCAGACTACAATGTACGGGCCCACTGGTACCAGAGTGGGGACACACACCGTACTCCAATCTGAGCTCCTCTGCTCCAGACTGATAGTAAGACTGTTGAAGACAGTGCATTCAAGCTTGGTGTTTAAGTGTTGCACCAAAGGCCTTCACAATTACAGTGGAGGCAGAGTCACCCTACAAACCCATGAGAGAAAAGGCTGGGCTTAGACAGGTCCCTTGTCTGGCATTCAGCTGGAAGCTGTGGCGATGGGCTTCTTCAGATGTTGGCTCATGAGCTCCCTGGCACGAGACACTTGGATGTGGTCATAACAGGAGTTACAAACGAGGACAGGGTCATACAACTGCTGATCAGGGATGGGCAACTTCAGATGGCAGCAACCGGCACAAAAAACATTCCCACAGTTCCTGTGAAGGAGCAAGAAAAGCAGTGAGACGAGAGCTGGGAATGCCACAGCAAATCTCAGCAAGTGCAAAGGACCAAGTTCAGGAGTGAAGTCTCAGCCTTACTTACGACTAGTGAGCATGTTTCTTAAAAAATAACGTGGTTCCCAACACAATCTGGCTGGCTAGCACTAGAAAGGGACTAGTAGGCAGTACTACCCAGAAAAAAGATCAAAGACCAAAAGGATCAAAAAGGAAATGGAAACAAGGACAACATAGCAGACTGGAAACCTGCAGGGGATTTATGGGACCTGGTGAATAAAGGATAGACTTAACACTTTCTCCTCGGAGGTGGAGGGGACAAAGATTACACTCAAGAATTCTGTGAGGTTTGACAGACAAAAGCAGAGAAGAGTGGAACTGCAGCAAAAATATTGTTTACCTGCAGTGATGCCTCCGTTTGGCCAGCCAGAATTCACAATCGCAGTTAAAACAATGTGAGGCCATGTGGTCTGGAACCCACCGCGTAACCTAGGGCAAACACCAGTCCTCATCAGCTTTAAATCTGTAACACCACACCAACCAGGTCTCAGGACCCAGGATGCAGGCTGAGATGTTGCTTTGGACCAGAACAGGCTAGCCCTGAGAGAGCCCATCCCACTGGTCCTCTCTATTGGACACAGCAGCAGCAGCAGAAGATGTAGTCTCTTGGACCTTGTCTTAAAGGACAAGGGTTGCTGCTCTCATCCTTTCTTCCAGCTCACTCTCTGCTGCCATAACCATTGAAGTTAGCTGCTAGGAAGAAACATTCTCTCCTGTACCTTTACAGCTGCCATAGCAGCACACGTACCTCTGTCTCCTTCTTATCAACAGGCTCCCAGCTCGCTTCTGACAAACAGTCTTCACTATGATCAGAACAGAAGTCCTCACTATCACTGCCATCTGATTCCTTCAGACATGTCTGTAAAAAGAGAACAAGTCAAATCCCCTCAGCTGCTTCAATCACAGAGCCAAGGGCATTCCCTCTCCAGCCACACAGTGCTTATGAGGGGCACATGGCTAGCTCTGCAGTTCTCCACCCAAGGAGAAAAGGGCTGAAGCATTCACAACCGTATAAGAGCCACTGCTTGGCCTCCAGGAAGCAGAGGTGCTTCTGGGTGGCATGAGGACATGGCACAGGGAAAACAGAGGAAAGGAGCTGAAGAAACACAGAAGCAGTATTAACCATCCACTCTAAAGGTGAATGTTGGTTGGAAAGGGGAGTGTGAGGGGTGTGCAGGGACCACTGCTGGCCAGGAGATGCATGGCTGGACTTGGGGTGTTAGAGGCAGTTACTTACAAAGTCATCCTCATAGTCCATGGGTGGCTCAGCTGGTGGGGCACAGAAGTGGCGGATGTCCAGCCGCAGCTGCAGCTCTCGCACCTGCCTGCGTAGCTGCTCCACCTCCTGCTTGTAGCTGGCCTCGATCTGCCGCAGCCTGTGCTGAATCACATCTGTGGGGAAGGGCAGCCCATCATCGTCCAGGTAGAGAGGAGGCACAGGAGAAGGACATTTTGGCGGCACGTGCTTGGGACCAGATGCTTGTTTCAGGTGGCAGGGTAGCCCTGAACGGCTGGGCTTCACTGCAGAGCCTGCAAAATGTGTGCCAACGTGGCCAGAGCAGACTGAGGCTTTCGCACCTTCTCTTACAGACCACTGGCTACTGAGGCACAGGCCAGGCACCCGTAGCTGTTTGCTGCTCAACCTCTTGCTACAACAGCCATAGGAGAGGAGGTGTCTGGGTGCAGGCTCCCCATTGGGGAGTGATGTCACCATTCCTTGAAAACTGTCCCAGTTGGACCCCAGGAACGAGAACTCGCTGCTTTGGCTCTGGGAAATAGGTTTGCGCCATTGCTCTAGCGGGACTCTCCCCAGCTGGCAGGGCTCCTCACAGGGTCCATTCCTTCTAGCGTTGCTTTTGCCCTTATCTTCATCCAGGCAGAGGATGCCCAGCTCCTGACAAGGAGCACTTGGTGCCAGGGACTCCTGGCTAGGAATGTCTTGGCAGGTGGTGTTTTTCTTGGGGCAACCTCCTCCACTGCATGCAAAGTCAGCAGCCTTCAAGGGTTCCTGGGAACAGGTTTCTAATTGCTTTTCAGAGCTGGTAGGAACCCTGTCAACATTTTCCTGCTTGGAAGGATTTGGAGCTGGACATGCGCCATCCAGTTCCTCCATGTATGTTACATTTCCCTTTTCCATCTCCAGAGACACACTGCTTGCTGGCACAGATGCCCAGCTGCTCTGTTGCTTGCTATGCACTTCATGCTCAGCATAGCCGCTAAAAACACTGCTGGCTTGCAGGGGGGCATTTTGCTGATGCTCTTCCACGTCCCTTGCCTCGCCTGCAGCCATCACGCTGCCTTCTCCCACATGCAGCTCTGCTCCCTCAGCAGTGGCATGTCTGGCTTCCAGGCCCACCCGGACTTCCTGGCAGTGGTTATTCAGGTTTGGATCACTAGATGTGCGGGTCAGCGGGCTGCTGGAGTCGCAGGCTGAAAGCAGGTCATCCATAGATCTTGTCTTTGGTAATCTGGAACCCGGAAGCAAAGCAAATCTCAGAACAAAACTCTTGAAATGTCCCTCATTTCAACTGAAACTGAGATTAACATAAATGTTCCTAATTAGAGATCATGGGGTGGGGTGAGGTAGAGGGGCGCAGCAGCATGAACTGAAAGGCATGAAACTACATCACGGCATCCACAATCTGCCTTTTTAGGAGCATCGAGGAATTATACATGTTCTTCTCCAAGTGGCTGGGACAATGCTACTGAGCTCTTGCTCTCCACAGTAAAGATAATAAGCACAACAGGTAAAACAGAGAAACTATAATGAGCAAGAAGGGAAAGATGACTGTGGGTAAGAGGCAACCTGGGACTGGAGCTCCAGGCTCTTACCTGTCCAAACATCTGCCACTGAACTCCTGGCTCTGAGATCCAGGGGGCATGTAAATGTCCATATCATCCTGTCCCAGAGGATGTGGGGAGGAAGCTGGGAGATATACTGCTGTCCAGACATGCAGTGCTCGGACATGGCACACTGGATGCAGCACCTGCAACAATCGCTATGTTTAGAGATGAACACAGAAGAAAACCTCTCCATTCTCTCTTTATACAGTCCCCAGTGCTCTGCAGGCACAGAGCCCAGAAGACTAGACCAGGAGCTCTACTCACCTGCTCAGACCCTGGCATATAAAGAAGATTGTGGAAGTTCTTATTGCCAGCCCGCAGGAGGGACCACACGGAGCAGGTACGCTTGTAGATGTTGTGCATCTCCCGCTCGCATGGGCTGTTCCCAAGGAAGGTCCCATAGAGGCAGGAATATGTGTGCTGCACCAGCTTTACCTGCAGCATCAAAAGGAGAACAATTGTCATGGCCACTGGTAAGCAGTGTCTCCTGTCCCCAAGAGCAGTGTCTTCTACCTGTCTAGGATACCTGTCTAGGATGGTCCATGTACTTTCTATCTAGCTGGTGACCTTACTGTGGTCCTCTGTCACACAGGGCAGGACAAATTGGGGATAACAGGAGCCACTTAGCTTAAAGAGAAAGCAATGGTCAACCAATACCATATCCATCCTTCTATGACCCTAAACTATTATTTGGTAAGTCAGCAATTAATAGCTATCATTTGTCATCCCCCCATCCTTTTTTTTTTTTTAGTATGTCTGAGAGATGCAAATCAAGCTTTTGATCAGAACAATGCTCCTGAATTCTGATTTCAGAAAATCTGAATTCACTGGGCTAGAAAGGGACCCACAGAAGAAGTGATTCAAAGAAATTAGACAATATAAAACCTTCATCACTGCCCAGTTTGCAAGGTACTCCAAGCCTGCAATCCCTACTGGAAGAAAGAAGAAATTGCAAGAAGCCATCAGGAGCATTACACATACAGCACCAGGTCAAAATACCACAACCAAAGTGCAGGGCTGGACCCGTACAGTGTAAGTATGTCAGGAATGCCAGCAGAAATCCAGGCAGTACTCAGACACTTTCCCATTTTTAAAGAATTGTTTTTCAACTATAATGCTGTAAAATATGGCCTTCTCTCTGCCTCTGCTCACATCTCGCAAGGAATAAATAAATGTTTGCATGCATATTTCTTACCAAAAAAGCTTCATTAAATTCAAAGAGGCAAGGAAATTGCTTCAGAAGCTGATGAACAGCATCCAGCCATTGGAGGAAAACTGGACATTGCTCATTCTGATCTTCCACCTTTTCCTGGTGACCACAGCGATCACCAAACTTGTGACCAAAATCCAGCCAATCTGATTCAACAAGCACCTGGAAACCCTGCGAACACAAGAGAAAACTAACTGCAGGCAACTTTGCTGTAGGCACCTAGCAAGACAAGGCAAGCTCTGTCTGCTAGCAGTGCCAGGAAATTGCAGGACTTCTGAAGGTCTGCAAAGAAAGTTTTATCTGTTCTTGGTTTGGGAGCAAAGCTACATGAATGTCAGAGGTTTCCAAAAACAAAGTGACAACTGTTATTTCTATATGACAAACAGCCACGAGAATGAACACAAGAAGTACAGGGAAGCAGCTGCACCTTGAGCACAACAGGTTGTTTTTCAAAGTGCCTTACGACACTGGGAATGAGGTATATAGTTTACTGAAAACATGCAGGAAGACCATATAGAAAAACTCAGTACCTGTAAGAGCAGCTCTGAAATGCCACTAAACTAATTGCTAAATACAGTTCTGTTCCTTTCTGAGGAGACTCAGACTGTCATTTAGCAGACATGAAACAGCAAAATAGCACAATGTGTACCTCCATGGTCCTGTAGTAAGGGTCCAGAAGAATCTTTGCCAGTGCTACAATCTGTGGAGTTCTGTCCCAGCCGTCTGAGCAATGAACCAACACTGGACGCCCTTCTCTGTCAATTGCACTGGAGACCAGCACCGCTGACTTCAGCATGACAGAAAGGTGCTGCAGCCACTTGGTACTCTCCAGGGCAGAAAGCCAGCTAGAAGGTGTGCAAAAAGCAAGGAGATGGTTCCTTAGCAGTGAAAAAAAGTGTCTTTTTTAAAACATCCAAAAGAGGAGTTAGACAGTTTGTGAATAACTACAAAGAATCCATCATCTAATCTCAGTTTTCCCCCAAAAGAAGCTATGTTTTTGAAACCATCAGAGGATATAAATAGATAAGTGATACTGAGTCAGTGATACTATCTATTCTGGATTACTGGGGATCAAAATGGGCACCATTTAAGCACTGTGAGAACTTTTCCTCCATTTTGTGAGGCAGAAATCTGGAGTGGAGAAAAAGAAAAAGGAAGAAAAAAAGCTCACAGGACGTTAACAGATATGGCATCAAACTTAGCTAGAATAAGGTCACTTACTTGCTAGGGTCTGGTACCTGGCTGCAAACAGCACGCAGATACTGGAAACTGTTGCGGATGGAGTGGATGTTGGCCATGCCCATGAACACGACTTCACAGTTTGGGTAATACTCTGAACACAACAGAGACAAAAACAGTCAGAAAGTGCTGCTGCCACTGCAGCAAGTGCCTCTATACACATAGTTTGGTTGTACCCTGCAGCACTGTTTCTAGTCTCTAGCAGAAGGTAGGCAGCATTTCTAGAAAAGCCTTGTGGGCCAGCAGCAATATATCTGGGATAACAGACTGCATGAGTGAGAAGGGGAATGTGCTCCCAGAGAGTGAGCACCAAAATGCCAGCCTGACCCAAACTGTGCTCCAGGGCCCACTCAACACAGCAGGTTCAAGAGGAACACACTGGGATTTGTTTATCTCTGTGTACCTTCACATTCGCAGCCTCCTCCCTTTGCTCTGTTGGCCACAGCTGCGGTGTAGGATCTGGCATCGAGAATCAGCAGCTTCTGAGGAGTTCCCGCATTCTCCACACCTGAACATGCGGTCAGGGACGAGTCTGCAGAGACAGCACGACTGAGTTCCTGGCACCTCCCTCCCTCTTACAACAGGCCTCCAGCACAACCCAACACTGGACGCGTACAAGCCCAGAGACATGTCCCACATGCAGGGCCCAGATTATTGACTTGGATGTCGGGTTTAAATCTTTCACTGTAACGGCCCTGCTAGCGGCAACAACAATATTTAGATGTAGGAACCACACCATAATTCACACATTTAAGAGACAGCAGAAGGGAGCATATTGCCTCACCGAAGTCAGCCTCACAGGCCTCGCTGCCATCACTGCTTCCATTGTGTGGCATGCCACCAGGTACCTTTATTCCAGGGTTCAAGGCACAGGCTTTGGCAATAGATGTCACAAGATACTCATCGTCAGCATTTCGCCAGCCCCACCAGCTGATTTCAGGCTGGCTGCAGCGTGCAATCACTGCCCCATTGCGCACATGTCTGCAAAACAAGCAAGAGCTGGATGAATCCCCCTGGAGAGGTGAGGAATGAGCCCAGCAAACTTCCCCACACATCTACAAACAGCCAGTGCTTGTGCAACCCTCCTCACTGCTTCATCTGCTGCATTTACCCTTGTAGTTAAGCAGTGAAACAGGGCAGGGCATTTCAAATAACCATTATTCATAACGACAGCAGTGACACAGAGGCTGTCACTCAAATCTCAGCACTGAGGAACAGAAGATGGCTGTGAGTAGCGCAGGAGCGGCTGATGGAGCTGGAACAGCTGGCAAAACGAGATTGCAGAGGAGCAGGTTGCTGCAGTTTTTGCAGGAGTGGCTGTCAGGAACACGCAGTGCCAGCGGATGGCGGCAGCTGCACCCCTGGGACCAGTGGCTGTGCTGGGATCTTGACCACCACTAAAATGATCCAGAGTTTCTGTAGCAAGGGGGAAGCTACCAGTTGTTCTTGTCATTACAACTCTAGAAAACTAGAGAGAAGTTCCAATAAATATGGCTGTACTTCGGAAAAGTCATAATTATTTCTTGTACTACTGTTCTGTTCTTCTATTTTCACATTTTTCCTCCCTTACATTATGTACTGGTTGTTAAACCATTTCATTTAGTGCTTGTAAATTAGAAAGATTAACTCACTCAGCATCGGACTAGTTAGTTTCTGGGTGGAGGCCTGAGCTGGTGTTTACTAATAACCCCTACAATGTGAACCTTACCCTGGCTGCTGCTAATCAAGGCCTGGCAGAATGTCTGAAATAGAAAGAAGTACTCATTTTTTCACATGAACATACTTGTCAAGTCAGTCACAAGTGACCTGAAAAGGGAGTGGATGATTATGTGACAACTTTTGCTGGTGCTACAGAATTATCCAAGAGTCATAGCTGACTGGAAAAAAATGCAGAGGATCTCATGATACTGAGTGATAAAAATGTAACAATAATAATTGAAAAGTATTTAAAAATGATCAATAAGTATCCCAGTTATGACATGAAACAGTTATGCACAATAAGCTGCCAAATCTCAAAGACTTTGAAGTCATTGCAGTTCTTAAACAGCCTCAGCTCAAGGCTCAAAGGAAGCAGAAAGGTTAAGAATGTGCAAGGAATTATTAAGAAAATAATAAAACAGAAAATATTATGACACCACATCACACACCTGCATCTTCACAATCACACAAGCTTCTTTCTTTAATCCATCCACAACCGTAACAGAGAGTGGACTCACTGCCACGGTGATATGGAATTATAAATATATTTAATTCACAGTGGGTAGGTCCACCAAGTGACCATGAAACACAACCATACATTCTCCTGAATATATGCCGCAGGAAGTCTAAGATACTTTGGCTGCTCCAAAGACACAGCAAGACAGAATACCTGCATCCCTGTCCTGTCTGTTACACTTCCTCGAGATGCTACTCGTGGTGCCTGGCCCTTCTCAGGGAGGGGACAAGAACCTGGACAGCCCTGTACACTCACCCCTCCCTGTCCCACTGCCCCGCATGTGACACCTCTCTGAAGACGAGCTGGAGTAAGAACAAAGACAGAGATAAAACATCTGACAGATATTTTCTTTGAAGGTTGACACCTCTGAAAAACCTGCAATACATAACAGCCTAGATCCTAAAACACACTAGCAGAAGCCTCGTGCCATCACTCAAAGGCTGTTTGGTTACTGATGGGGGCTAAAAGTAGAAGAACTCTTGAAGGTGTCTCTTTTTCCTCATGCTGTCATCCCCCTGTTATAGGCTCTGCTGTTCCACAGCGGATGACAATGCTTGTTCACATTACTTGCTGTAAGGCAGTACATCCAGAAAATACACTGAAACTTTGAATTTCTTTCAACAGCAGTGGCATCTCACCAGCAGCTACTGCAGTTTGTAGAAATGGTTTTGCTCCTCAGAGACAAGATTGTCCTGAAGCAACTTACCAGTAAACACTGAAAAAGTTTTTATTGCTAATGGCATCCCATAGTTAATACTGATGACGATTCTAAACTGAAGACTTCCAAAAAACAGTATTTGTATGCAGCTAACTCAAAATACTTTGGAGTCTTTTCTCATTTGGTGCCATCCTCTGCTGCTGTTTTGTTTTGCAAGGTGAGTTATGCTCCCAGAAGGTCTATTTCTGGCACTGGGATCACTGAAGGATGGATAATACAGACAGCAGCAAAGGCTTTGTTTATACTAGTAAATGAAACAGAGCCAAGGTGTGGACTTAAGCACCGGCCTGTGATCATCCAAGCCTGTTTGTTAGCACACCTACAATTTTCGGCCTGTGCCAACTAGCACTTTCCCAGACAGCGCCCGAGCACGTTTCTGGGACATGCAGGTGCTGTGCCAGGGACTGTTCCCAGCAGCCTGTTTGGATGTGACAGTAACATTTTGGGGTGCAGAGGGTAGGAAAAGATTGTAGCTGTGTAGATGTGAGTTGTAGGAGGCCACCTCAGTGATGGCCTGTCCAATGCATTACTAGAAGCATGGCCAAAGTGTCATACTACATTTAGAGAATTTCTTGGTACCACAGGCTTCTGAGCAGCGCAACAAATACTGGGCAGGGCATGGTCTTGAGGTAACCAGTTTCAAGAGATGTAATGATGTGCTAATAAACACGAGGAAACATGGCCAACATTGATGAGCATGAAGACATCAGTAAGCAGAAAGTGTAGCAGGTGCCAGTATAAGAACCAAAACCAAAACCGAGCCTGCAGTGAGCTTCCAAAACCACAGAAGCACACATAGCTAGCTTGATTCTGTGGTCTCCTGCAGATCTTCACAACACGAGCATATGAAGTTTTGGTTCTTTTCTTAATGGAAGTTTTCCCCAAGGAAAAATGATCCTTTCTTGAAACTGGAATGGTAGAACGTGCCATAGCATGTTAACTTATGTGGACGTAAGTATTCCCAAGGGATCCTCAGTTTAGTCTAGATGACTCAAGACCCTTTCAGAATCCAAAGCTGGAGTATGACATGCCTTGTATCTTATCAGTTCATCTTTTACTCCCAGATTCACTTAGAGCACAAGGCTAGAGCAGATGTGATGTTCTTAGCACATGCCATCTTGATTTTCCTGACTGTTATTCTGGCCATAGGAGTTCTCATCCACTATGCAAAGTCAAGCAGCTCAGCTTAAAACACGAGAAACTGCTGAGAGGGTTTACGGAGCTGCTGCCTCTCAGCATCACCTAAAGATTCCCACCTGAGATGCATTCATGCAAGTGTTTTGTTTCCTAGCCACCAGATGAAAGCCCTGGCTCACTCCACCTTGACCAGCTTGAGACCAATGCTCAGCATGGGGCTGCAGCAATGTCCACATCTGCCCACTGCTTCCCTGACACTCATCGCAGCATGAACACAATCAAAGGCAACTGCTGAGCTTCTGTGAGAAGCTCTCTTGCTAACGTAGTCCCAAGGTCTTCTGAAGGTGGCTGTGCAGACAGAGTAATAATGAGGAGCGGCTGGCATACAATGCCCGTCTGCCTCTGTAGTCAACTAAATAATTGATTGCGTCCTCTGTGTTGCTTTAAAAGTGAGTTGTGCCTGGAAGGTCCTGAATCTCTACTGTGCATGTCCTCCACTGAGGACTCGAAGATGGAGATCCATATTTCTGTTTTGCTTACCAGCTAAATTATACTTTTTGTAAGGAAACTGATAATGTGATATCTTTGGTGTCATGCTTTACAGATCCGAGTGTCAGCTGTTGAATTCAGCCTTGCTCTCCAAAATCTCTGAACTCTAGCAAACAGTCCTGTGGTGACTGAGTCCCTGGGATAAATTCAACCAAGGCCACTTGCCCTCTCCCCTGAGCTGTAGGTGATGAGGAGCTGAGTGTGAGGCTCTGCATTTTGCCCCTTCCCCTTGGCACAGCACAAGGTACTCTAGAAGCAGCCACGGCCCTTATAGACCTTCTTGGCCAAACGCATAAAGTTTGAAGGCAAAGGCTAAAGAGAACGTGAAAATGAGAGAGAAATGGGGAAGGCCTGGACCCATCTTATAACATCACTTGTCAGCATCTTCTAATCTGATACCAGGCTGCAAAAGGTTGCAGTTCAACCTGTAAATTACTGGGTACCTTCATAGTGATATTATAAAGCGCTGAACAAAATAATTTTAAGAGGGTAGAAAAAGACATGGCTTTGCCCTCAGGTGGAGAAGCACACAGTCTCCAGCGCCAGACCATTTTTAGCAGAAGTAATCACAAATACAATTAACTTCTTAGCTGACTCGGCTGCAAAGAGGGGGAGGCTCCATGTGATAACCAGTGCTCATTATTACTTCATTGTAGAATTTAGCTCTTGTAGAAACAGCACGCTGTTTTGCCAGCATGTAACACAAACCATGTAAAACAAAGATGTAGAGTTAAGGTATGTGTAAATTTGCTGGTTTTGTTTCCTGGCTTTCTTGCTTTCCAGGGCTTTCCTTTGTAATGCAGCGCTGACATTTTCAAAGCTTTTTATATTTGGATTTAATAGTTGCTAACACTGAGTCTGATGCTAGAAACCACAACATACATTACAACATACACTGACTGGGTGAGGTATCTTCCTGCACACCTATGCAACCAACGTCCCATTTGGTTCAAACATGTCAGCCTCCTAGAAGACATGCTTAATGAGAAACCAACCCCCTGCCCTGAAAAGCCCTGCTTTGTTTGCTGCCTAGCCTCATGCATCCTCATGTATAGGTAATTTTTGGAAGGCTGCTCTGATCGGGGAAGAGGTACTCTCCATATTTACCAGTTATTGAATCAATGATGTTCAGCCACATGCAAATATTTCATCCTACCTGTTACTTTCAAACTCTTTTTTCAAACTCTGTTTTCAAACTCTCACAACTCAGTCAAAACAGGAATGATTTGCATGTGGGTACTAAAATGTATATCCAGGCTGTGGTAAGTCGTTGATTGAAGGGCCATGCAGCAGGCTCATTTTGGCCAAGATTTCTTTTCAAAGTAACAGCTAGGCACACCTCAATTTGTGACACTCAAAGAAACTCAAACTGTTTTGAAACTCAAAGAGAACCTGAATTTGACATGGGATTCTTGCTGCATCTCGCACAGAAGGAAAGTCACCTCTCTCCTCAGATCTAAATGAAAGCAGGAAACAAGCAGCACTTACCAAATATTTTTCTCTCTGGGAGAACGTCCTGCTTTACCGTCACAGACCAAGTTCCTAGACCTGTCTAAAGGGCAGCTACTGGGGACTTGGGGAGCACGCTGTTTTGCTTTTTTGTTTACCTGTACACAACCACAGGGATCCTCTTCCATGACCTAAATGAAGCCACATTCTCTAGCTCCTTATCCGTGATCCAGACAGGCACCAGCAGCTTCTGGGGATAACTGGAACAAAGCCTGGAAAAAAGATAGCAGCAAGGCAAGATGAGAACTCGGTGACTAAAATATGTACTAGACAAGTTGTACAGAGAGTGCAGGAGCATTTCACATTCTCCCAAACTCTGCATGGCTCTTCCTCCTCATATCTGTCTCAGTACAGTTTCAACACAGGAAAAGTAACCCAAAAAATGCTGTCAAGAATGAGCTAGGAGATAACAGCCTCCCTTAACATCAGGCCTCACCTCTGGGGCCATGCCAAGTATCCTAGCACTTCCCAAGGATGCCTTTAGAACATGCTCTGGATTTAAATGTGCACGAGGGTCTAGGGGAACAGTCATTGTGTGTGGGGGGGTCAGTTTTCTTGCAGTACTTACAAACCCAGAAATGCACACTATGTTTAGTAAATGATTATCTGGCCCTTGTAGGAAACAGATCACCACTGACAAGCTTTTACACACCTCCATGACAAAGATGTAGATCTCTGCCTAGAAAGATGGCAATGATGGTTTGGTCTGTGCTACAATAAAATGATACAAGGGAGATCTGAAATAATATTTAGTGAGGTCATTATCTGAACATGTGCCAACAGTGACATAAATGTGATGGGCAAGTCCCTATCAATCTGGTCACCTAGATAAACTCCAAGCATGTACAGCTATAGCGGAGGGGACACAACTCTTTAAGAAACAGAGCTGCAGTAACAAAGTGCCACATCTAAACTCACGGAAGTTCAAAGCAGTCTGGCTGAAACAGAAGTTGGGGGGGGGGGGGGGGGAGAGACGGAGGGAGGGAGAGAGGGAGGGAGTGGGGAACAGGCATATAGGATTTTCCAGGCAGCAGTGTGCTCAGGTGGCCAAGAAGGCCAACAGCATCCTGGCTTGCATAAGAAGCAGTGTGGCCAGCAGGTCGAGGGAAGTGATTGTCCCCCTAGACTCAGCTCTGGTGAGGCCGCACCTCGAGTACTGTGTTCAGTTTTGGGCCCCTCACTACAGGAAGGACATCGAGGTGCTCGAGCGAGGCCAGAGAAGGGCAACGAAGCTGGTGAGGGGTCTGGAGAACAAGTCCTACGAGGAGTGGCTGAGGGAGCTGGGCTTGTTCAGCCTGGAGAAGAGGAGGCTCAGGGGCGACCTTATTGCTCTCTACAGGTACCTTAAAGGAAGCTGCAGCGAGGTGGGGGTTGGTCTGTTCTCCCACGTGCTTGGTGACAGGACGAGGGGGAATGGGCTTAAGTAGTGCCAGGGGAGGTTTAGGTTGGATATTAGGAAGACCTTCTTTACCGAAAGGGTTATTACGCATTGGAATGGGCTGCCGAGGGAAGTGGTGGAGTCACCATCCCTGGAGGTCTTTTAAAAGACGTTTAGATGTAGAGCTCAGTGATATGGTTTAGTGGAGGACTGGTTAGTGGTAGGTCAGAGGTTGGACTAGGTGATCTTGGAGGTCTCTTCCAACCTAGACAATTCTGTGATTACAAATGTTTAACTCCCCAAACGTTAAAAAAACAATTGTAGTGTATGTTAAGAGTAGGACAAGACAGCAGCCAAGGGAAAGATGGGGAAATCCAAATAGCATGCTGGGGAAAGGAGCTAAGAGCAATGCAAACAAAATGATGCACAGGTGAAAATTCAGGAGTGCAGGGGCTTCCTGGTTACTGCAGCAACTGGTCTGCCCCTGGGCTCCCAGCATGTGGCTGCATGTGGGCAGACAGGTTGCAGGCTTCAGAGAGGAAGCACCGCCTGGATGCCGGACCAGCAGAGCCCCAGCAGCTCAGGCAGACAAAGCCCTGACAAGAAACATCAAAGAGCAGTCAGCTCCAGGCTATAACCCACATCTTTCGAAGGAATGTTTTGGGGCAGACAGGAAGCAAACTGAGGAGGGTGAAACTATCAAGCAGGTAAGCTCCAGAGGATGGCCTGGTACTCCCCTCAATCCAGGCTACTCTACCTGATGTTACCTGGTTTGTGATGGTAGAAAGGACCTGCCTGACATGCTAGAAATGTCACTTCACACTGTGTCTAGACAGCTTCTCAGAAAGCCCTGGACAGAAGGCAAGGTTGGTCTATGGGACAATAACAATAGGGCATGGAAAGAGAATCCAGTAAGGAAAATGTAAGCTGTTGGGTAAGAAGCTGAAGACAGAACATCTGTGTGTGGTAGAACTCTCTGGAGTGCTTCACGTTCCTCTCGTAAAATTGCTCAGAAAACCAGAAAAGCACTGAAGTGTGATCAAGAACAATGGAATGTTGAATAAGATTAGTACCTATTAGGATCTGGGGGGATTTTTTGAATAGCCATGGTCTGTAAAAGAATGGTCTTCATCTAAGTCAAAACAGAACCTGTTTCCTGGCACTTAGGATGAAATGTTATGGAAGATGTCTCAAAAACTGGGGAGAATAAATACAAGAGTGTTTCAGTACAGGAGCATATATTGTAAGAGTTAAGCCACAAACTCTGTAATCTTACAAAAACAATAAGGATCAAGTCAATAAAATTCAGGTTAGAACACAGGACAGCCTCAACAAGTTAAGCCAAATTTAAGGAGGGTGCACAAAAATTGACACTGAGGTGAAGATAAACAGACCTGTGCTCCTAAGGCTAGAGGACACGAAGAGCCAGGATAAAGGAGTATGTTGGCTTAACAGCACCTTATAAACTTGGCACAAGGAAGATTATCACTGGTCCCCTAGATTTTGGAGTAGAAGCTTTCTAGGAAGACCAGAATAGATTGATCTAACAAAGTCCTGTCTGCTCCAAGAAAAACTGAAGGTGAAATTGTGAGGCCAAGAGTTGCCAGCATCAACACACATTGCAAGAAGTGCACGGACTGAAATCCCCACCCTAAAGAGAAACTGGATAGTACTAAGGGTACACTACAACCACAGGAGCACGGCAGCAGCAATACCCATGAAAGGCTGAAAGATTCAGAGAGGCTGCAAGGGCAGAAATTGCAATGGGAGACTTGCATTGCTTCCACATAAAATACATAAGCATCATGATAACACATTAGACAAAGGCTACGTTTTTAGAAATGATCAGCTGCTTCTTGGTGGTACCAGCCAAATAAATCAAAAGATATATAACTATTCCTTTGGTCCTAAGCATGCACAAAGCTGCTCCAACACAGGGTAACTGAAAAATTGCTTTGTTGCAGCAATCGTTGCACAGTAGAAGTCAAAAATATATTTAAAGGCAAAAAGGTTCTCACTGTGGTAGAAGTCTGCTTCAGAAAGAGGAAAAGATTCATTTTTATATACTTCAAGAGACAGTGAAAGGAAGCAAAAAAAGCTTGCAGTTGATGCGATGCTTAATTAAATATGCTATTCAATGTAATATAAAACACATCAAAAAGGATCAGAAAGAGATGGCAGAGTTGGTGAATGAAAGTAGGATTTTAGAAATACAATGACATCCTTCAAATAGGGGAAATATTTCTAAAGGACACAAACCTGAGAGGAGCCAAATGTGAATCTCAATTAAAAAACAGTAAAAACAAGGCAATCATGCAGATTTCAAGAAATGCCCTATTAAGAGATTAAAACTATGAAGACACCTCGGAGGTCTGATAGATAAGCAAGATCACAGCAGAGAGTCAAAACTATCTACAATGATCCCGGTGATCATTGGAGGAGTGCACAGAGAAAAGAAGTTGCCAGACCTATCCCTGTTTTGCAAGGGACAAGGGACAAGAATAGATTAATGTGGAAACTTCAGCAGGGGAAGCTGTAGAACTATCTGCTAGGAACGAAGAGCAACTAATCAGCAGGACTGGATAATACCCAACATTGCTACAGCAACCCAAATGCACACCAGGTGAATGATTAACTGAGATGCGTAATCTATTGCTTACATTGGCTTGGGTGCCAGAGGAATGAAAGGTGGCAAACTTGGTATCAATTTTGTAAAAAGCTCTCTGAGGTGAATGTGGGAAACCTCTCAAGTCTGACTTCTGTACAAAGCCACTGACTGCACAGTTGGTGCAAGGGTAAATACAGTGCACTTGGGAAGAGTCAACAATGGCTTTTGTGGAGGGAGGTCGCATGTCACGTATCTAGAGCTTGCTGCAGGCACCACTGAACAAGTAGATACAGCCTGCAAAGCTGACAGTGGATTTCGATTTTCATAGATTTTTGTTTGTTTGTTTGTTTGTTTTTTTACACAAGTTGCTCATTGAAGACTTGAAAGAAGCTCCTCTTGAGAAACAGCAACCCTTGAAAAGCAAGAAACAGTAACAGAATGTAACTGGTTATTTTTTGTGAGAAAGGGAGTCCCAAAGGGACCCATGTTTGGCCCTGTGCTGTGTGATGTGCTCACACTGCACATGGAAAGAAATGAACAGTGAAACAATGTGACTCATGGACCATGCTGACCCAAACTAGCAAATGGAATGTTTTTGGAACTGTGAAGTTAGATCCCAGAAAGAGGCATTAACAACACTAATGCATAAATCAGCACTAGCCACACCTACAGACAAGGACAGATGAAGCATCTTCTTGCCGCAAAGGCAACAACCACCCCAGTGAGAGATCCTCCTTTACAGTATGCAAGAACATGAAGCATCACCTTTGCCATGAAAGTGGAGGAAAGTATTAAGATTTGTAGAGAAGTCTAACAAAATAAGACAAACTATGAATTAAGAGCAGTCACAGAAACGAGTAGGAAACATCGGATATCTTCAACAATACCACAGCACTCCAGGCAGCTTTTCCTCATAAAACCAAAAATAAATAAAACCGTGAGTGACTGTAAAAAGATCAAAGCTGAAGATAAGCATCAACAGCAAAAGAAAGGTGAATTTGTTTGTTTGTTTCTTTCTTTCTTTTTATTATTTTTGAAGGAACTATGTGTGCATCAACTCTCCTAGCATCATGGGCAACATGAAAACAACTTCTAGCTCAGACAGCATGGGTACATTAGCTGGCCTATGTCAGAGCATGCACAGTTCTCTCGGTGTACAGATCACTGGGGATGTAAAAGCCATGGAGATATTATGTAATATTTTTATTATTATTGTGTGCTGAAAGAGTATAACTTTTATCATGACTGAAGGAGTGGTTATTATATGCTTGTATAGCTCTACTTTTATGATGGCTGTCGCCAGGAAGAAGATAATAGTTACCAGATAAGAACATCTCGGAACAGACTTGAAAGACAACGAACAAAGTCATTACCTTGGAGTATCCTGTCTCTAACAACATTGTTTTGTCAATGCTGGGAAATAAAAGATAAAAAGGACTATAAACAGTTAAAAAGTAACCTGATTCCTGTGAATAGAGGCAGGTGGTAATGATCAAAAGCCAAGGCAGGATTTAAAGACACACTCCCTGGAGCAGCAAGAGAGAACTGGTTTCTGAGTTGCACAAGCAAATTACAACACCTTTAAGATCTTGAGATGTCTGCTGAGAAAGGAAGCTGAGACCTGCCAGGATCCCCAAGGAGGAACTCAGCAGACCCAAGGAAAGCACAACCAGGCCTGCATCCAGCTTGCTAAGAACTTCTTTCAAGTTCTTTCTTCCCTGGTTTGGTTGAAAACCAAACATCTGTCTTCAGAGACGTTTGCTAATAGCTGAGCATTGCTGGTCATAACTCCCAGGAAGCAAACCACAGGTGGTTGATCTAAGCTGGACTTTCTGAAGCAGTCAGAGGGAATCACATCCCAAAGCCTAGCAGGGAAGGAAAACCTGGCTGCTTTCAAAGACACACAGAGACTGTACCTGCAGCACAGACCTACCTGTTGTGCATTCTGAAACTGAGCAGTTCAGGAAAACAATTTTTATTTGAAATTCCTGGAAAAACTGTGTAAATGCTGTCAACAAAGGCACGTAACATTCCAGAAGCAATAATGTGGTATGGATAAGAAGAAAATGAATTGAAGCCCAAACAGATTGCTTGATGCCTGGATTCCTGAGGAAGCACGTGAGAGAAGGTAGCAGGCAGCAAACTGCAAAACTCCACAGGGATTTCCCCAGGTCAGCATACCTGAGGCTTCTCACGGTCTCCACAAGAAACTGGAAATATAAAGGTGATTGGGGATGTTTTTACTGTCTGAGAAATACAGAAAAGACTGAGGGATACCAGTCATTTCAAGCAAAGGATTAAAGGGAATGCAGAAATGAACATGTCAGTCAAAGCTTAATAAAAACCTGTTGGCTTAATGCCACCTGCCGCAAAGAATGCGGAAGCGCTTCTCCAAGAGCTCTTCTCCAGGAGCAGAAGACAGGTGAGAATCACTGACGTGCTGGGTGAAGGACCTTCCAGAGATCTCCACTCCTGCCCACAGTGGAACCACATCCAACACCAGATCAGCTGAGACCTGAAATGCTCCAAGGATGGAGACCTCCTGCCTCCCTGGGTGACTTGTCCCAGCAAAGCATCTTCCCCCTTCTGGAGAAGGACACTTCCCCCCTGTCCAATCTGAGCCTCCCAAGCTGCAACTTGAGGCCAGTGTCCCTTGTTCTTTCACCTTCCACTGTCAGAAGAGTCTCACTCCACCACCTTTGTAACTGCCCTGCAGGCTGTAAGCAGATCACCGTTCAGCCTCTCCTTCACCAGACTGAACCAACCCAGCTCTTCCTCCAGACTTCTCAGTATCTTGAGAGCCCTCCACTGGCTTGTCCCCAGTTTCCTGACACAGGTGAATGGCTGCCTGACTTCATGTAACCTTTCAATTTTCAATGTGAGCATTTTAGAAAGACTGACCAGAAAGGCAACCCTATGATGAATGATTTCTCCAAGACCCTAGATTGCCTTCAAGGATAAATTCTGGCCACCACATTATAAACTACCTGAGTCAGCATTTACAATTGCTGCTAGCTCTGGTGTTTGGAGTGTACTCCTTCTTAAAGGAGGAAAGAAAGGGGGTCTGGCTCATATGCTGATCTTCCTGAGGGTTATCAAGACCTGAAAGGAGGATTAGCTGGAGCCTGACTCATCCACTGCTCTACATGGGGATTGCAAAGGGAAGAAGGAAAGGAAAGAGGAGATCGGGGAGAGCCTAGTGGTGAAACACTCACTTGTAATTGTTGTTGATGTCAGAGACTCGCCAGACATTCTGCAAGTCAAAGCCCATCCTCACCAGCTCCATCTCGAATCGGTATCTTACGTGGTCTCCTGGAATGGTAGAGCATAGGGTATTTACTGACAGCTAAGCAGAACTGATAAAATTTAAACATCAGTGGCAGCTCCATAGCAACTATCACAGGCTGGAGAGAAACCACAGGACAGCTGGACAGCAGGTTCTTGATTCAGAAGCCAAAAAGACTTGTCCCTTGCATGGGTGCCTCTGCCTATTTTGTTGAGTCAGATCACCTCCCAGTCTCAGCAGCAGAAAAATAGCCTTCCCCGTTCAGTGCGTGTTTTGGGGGCGGTGGTGTTAATTTCATCTGTGTTTTCCTTCTGATGGAGATGGCTTCCAAAGCAGATGTTGGAAAGCCAATGGCAGAGGCAGCCCACTCCAGAGGCAGTTTTTTCAGACTGCTCTGTCAGAGGGTGACTCAGTTTCCTCTTATGTTTTAGCCTCACCGTACAAATACTGGATGTCTTTGGTGCTCAAGTGACAAATCTTGTTAATAAATAAATACTGAAATGTTCTTTGCCTCATTCATATCCTGCAGCAACAATTTTTGCAGGTAAATGTACTTATATTAGATAATAATATTTTCTGTATGGGAAAGACAACAAATACCTCCTAATTGCTGATGTTTGGGGGCAGAGCAGGGATACATATCTTACCTTTTTCTCTACCAACTTCTTTTTGGTACCTCTTTCAGATATACTATTCACCCCCCATCCCTCCATCCAAACCTGCGTCATTCTGGCTACTGCTTCTCTCTTAATAACAACACTTTTCTAAATCTAAAGCAGGGCTTATCACTCAGTTTAATTTCCCTTTATTCATGTTGAAGCTTTTCAAAGAGAAAGCACCTGCAAGTGAACTTTGTGTTCCAGGAGAGGGCAAACTTCCAATCCACACGAGGGCACTATCACAACTCTGTTTTCCTCTTTATGGATTCAAACATTTCATTTGTGCCTGAGTAAAAATGAGCCAGACATCTCTGCAGATTTTATCACAGGAATGTCATGACATTTCTAAGCACTGGAGAAGAGTTGCAGATGGACTGATATTAATGATGCTGCCTCAATGCTGATGACATTTACTGTCAAAGGACAAGACTGCTTGAGCTGTCTCATTATCATGATGAAAGTACTAAAGGATGGGATGTTTTCTTCATTCACAAGGAGAAAGGGAAAAGGGGACTTAAGTGCTGCTGGCTCAGAATACTCCTTAGCATGCTTATTATTTATTGTTCCTTTTACTGTCCGTGTTAGCCAGCTGCATCTGGACATCAGCTGGATGTCTAGGCCAGGTACGGGATGGCCCTTAGCAAGATTAACTTGGGCTGTGGCCACAGCAGAACGTAAGACACAGCAAGACGTTGGTTTATGAACAATAGCTCATGTTGCATTGCTGTGCTTCTGGACAAAAAAACAGGAAGCAGATGGGTCAGGAGCCTACCTGGACGGCAGAGATGGGCATGTTGATCCTCCTCATCAACACAGACTCCTAAGCACCACGCGTGGTAGGCAAATGCAAAAAGGTCCTCAGGCTTCGCAGGGCGGGCAATGGCTCGATTTAGCCTCTTCAGCCACTCCTGGCACTGCTTAAAGGTGGAAAAATGGCACCTGCAAACCCAAATGCAAATCATACTCAGTGGGTACATATATCCAGCTGAGACCAAGACAAGGAGCTCTGCTCAGAAAAAGGAATAAAGCACCAAGTCCTAGGAAAAAAAACAGAGCAACCTTGACCATAAAGAGCTTCATTCCAATGACAGAACAAAGAGAGACACCAGAGCTGATCATGGCAACTGCAGTGGCATCTATAAGATAGCAACGGCTACCTGATCACTTTGGAGTCCTTGCAGACAATGTGAAGCTGGAACATATCCCGACACTCCACACTCTCCATCATCCTCAAAGGCACCTGCAAGGGACAGAAGCAGTGCATGAGAAGACATCATACTAGCAGAAACAGCAGCCCAGCCCATAGACCCATCACTCCCAGCCATGGCTCTGTTAACAAACACGAGCTCCTAGTCCAAACTACAAACCCACTTCAAGGCTTATGAAGCATCACGATCCAGCACAGAGTCTCCTTCAAGGATTACTATTCTGATTTCTGTTCTGTCCTTGGCTAAGTCTCCCACCATCAACCAGTTACTGACTAAATCACAACTAGATAAACACAGGCAACTGAGCCAAACAAAGGCTACAATAAAAGATGGCATGTCAATACAGTGAGAGAAAGCCTCAGGCTCCCACTGGCTGACTCTAGGATGCTGATATCCAAATAAGACAAGTGCCAGGTAGACCGGCCTCTGGCCTATAAGAGACCTTAACAAGTCTTAAAACCCCTGAGCTTAATACTGGATTTCAAAATGAAGAGCAAGGGAAAGACCTAATTATCATCTATAGGAGAACCCCATCTGCCCTCCAAAATGCAGCAGCAGGACAGCAACTGCGTGACCAGCAGTAATAGATGTCAGGCTTGGCAACTTTTAAGAGGCACAGTTCCCAGGCTGCAAACCATACAAATGGCTTATGCCTTCCCAAATCCCCATCCCAAAATACTGCATGAGATTACAGTTCAGGAAACAGGAATGGGCAAATCCAGACTTACATTGATCACAGAATCCTTAAATTTGATATGAAGCCGGTAGTTGGAGATGGCGATCACAGCATCATTTGCGTGGCCAAGATACTCTACCCCCTCGCCCTGCAACACAGTGAACGGGACCTGGAAAGGAGACACCACTAGTTAGGTCACATGCTGAGCACTTTGCACACCATTAATGCCAAGAGCTGCTCCTCCTACTGTCTCCACAACGCATCTCCTGTGGGAAATCACATCGATGTGCTTTTTGTGCGCTGCTGAGAGCACAAAACAGCGCTGGTACCCACTGCCCAGCCCCGCTGGACGGCTCTTCTGCCAAGGATGCCTTGGGAAGCAGTGAGCAGCTGCAGGGAGGCAATTACTTGCAGAAGAGAGGTGTGCACCACAAATACTACGTGTACCGACCATGGGCACCTGGCTATGAGGGTGCTGTATGCAAGGTGGGGGCCTTATGGTCCCCACTTCTTACAGAAGGTCAACATAGCGCTGATGCAGGCAGTGTGATTAAGGGAACCACCTCAGACACAGCCTGGGCTGAGGAGGAGCCCCAGGGAGGCTCTGCACAGTGCCAGATGCAGCCCGATGCTGCCCGAGTCCTCTACCCAAGGTGCAGTCATGCATGTGATGCTGCTGCGCCACAGGAGCAAAGGAGCATCCCAACAGAACCCCTGGGTACTAATCCAGGTAAATAAACGAAACAAAGGGTGGCACACTTTCTGCTAACAAGGCTGTGAAGGAATCTCTGTGTATAGTGTTTTGTAAGACTGAGGAAACCGTGATGAAGCTACCTGTATTTTTTCTTTTAATCTAGGTGGAGATAAATCAAACGTCTGTCTGATTTTCCCTATCAGCCCAGACATGCTGTAGCTATTTTTAAAACAGGGGATCCTGGCAGATGGCCAAGACTAGTGTGTTGTTGGTTTTTTTTTTTGTTTGTTTTTTTATCCTTGTTAAAAAAGGAAAAAAAAAAGCGGAGCAGCCTGGAATTCATCAGGCCTCTTTGCCCTAGCTAAGCAGACTCCTTTTTGTTCCCTGAATGCCACCTATACCAGGTGATTTTGGTAACCAGTTATGCAAAAATATCGTAACTATTTCAGCCAAAACCCTTTACTTGCCAGCCAGGGGATCTTATGAAACAATTCATTTTACTATTATTAATACAGGTCAGGCCATGTTATCTTTATTTCTAAGCTGTATCTACGGCTTGAATACACGATGCCTAAAAACTGAATTTCCTGGATTTCCAATGTGATAGTGCAAGTGACAACTGTCCTAAAGAATTCTCCCTTCTTAAGCTACTTGAAAAAAAATAACAACCTTAGGCTGGCACCTGTCTGAAAACCTTTGAAATATTAATTATTTGACATTAAGAAAATATACTCTCTTTATTTCTGCAGTCTATTATGCATACTTGCCAATGCTGTTTTTAGTTGGCACATATTTTGTCTGCTTACGTGGCTCTTTCACACAGCAACAGAAGGGAGAGAGATTAGAGATGGGATGGTAAAGCTCCAAGAACTGACAGGGGAATCCTGGAATAAACTGTCGGTGCTTGAATGCAGCTTGTTATCAAATCGATGGCTCCCTTTCAGACTTCATTTTATATTAAGAGACTAAAAATCACTATTCTCTCTACTGAATGCGAATTATCCTTTGGGAGGGGCAAACTTTATGGTCCTCCACGAAGACTACTCAAGCAGGCTGTGCTCTTCTCCAGGTGCTCTCAGTTCAGAGCCACCTCAGAAGCTCCATCATCAGGATACCGACCCGCAGCCTCTGCACGCCTCCCAGCCCGCATTTGCTCTTTCCCAGTCAACCTTCCAGCTGTCACATTTCAGTCCTTGCTCTTACCAGCATTGTTTACTGAAACAATGCCAATCTCTGAGCATCCTCGACCATTGCAGCAACAGTAAGAACATACACTGCGTGCCTGGCTCTGGCCATAGGAGCAGGATGACAAGCACTGGGACAAAGTGGCAGGGGACTGTGCGAAAGAAGGCAGAAACACTGGGAGGTTCAGCTCCCACTGCCCTTGCTGCACAGCAGCAGTGGCACCTGGGTCTCTTTCAAGGGTCTCTTGCAGCATGAGGTTGGCACCACCCAGGTTTCTCTTTCCATATGTTGGTTTCTCTTTCCAACAGCTCTGCAGCAGAAAAACACCAGAAGCAATGTACATGAAAGTCAGATCAGCTGTTGCAATACGGCATGCTATTGCCATCGAGAGCACAGCCTAGCTCCGGTATGCTACCAGTCCCACAGAGGGTCTGCCTGCTGCGGTGTGATACAGCATCACAGCTCCTCACCACCAGCACAGGTGGAGGGCAGAGAATACCCAGAACAGCGGTGTTGCATCATGCTTCAGCTGTATCTGAGCAGCAGATGTGACGCCGTGTGAACTGCAGCATCTTGGCAGGGCTGGAAAGGAGGGGGAGGAGGCACCGAGCAGCTGCCCACAGCCTCCATGCACGTGAAGGGCTCACCAGAGTGAGTGTGACCTACAGTGCTGGCCGACCAGTGGCCTCTGGAGCACATCCTGGGCTGGAGAAGTGCTCTCCGATTTCATGCTACAGAGCCTGCTACATCCTGAAGCGGATGGTTTCTGTTTTCTTCCTTACCTGCAATGACTCTTCCTCCTTTACAAGCTCTTTTGGGGGGAACAAGTCCTTGGCCTGGATGTACTCCAAACTGGGAGGGCCTTCCTCACCCTGCATTACAAACAAAATACACATTAAGAGAAAGACCCCAGCCAGTGAATGTTATGAAAAGGCAAAATCAAGAGTTATGGATACTCTTGGCACCCCAGTACGTTGGGGATCCCCTGAACCTGTGGATGGAAATGCCCGTTCTGCCTCCAGACCAAACCTCTCCGATGCTGCAGGACCTCAGCAGTTTCTCCTGCTATTGCAGAACACCATAGCACAGCAGAAAGCTGACACAGGTCTCCAAGTCTGTCTCTTCCAGCCATGTGCTCTTTGGAAAGCTGAGCAGATACACCTCAACAATGCACAGCATCTTGGAGTGATGTTACAGTAACTGTGATTTGCCACATCAAATGTGACCCCATGAACTTTGTCACGGAACCACAGCAGAAATGAACCCAGATGGTTCCACCAGCTTCAACCTACTCTTACTGCTACAAAGGATTCCTTTCTTTGGGGAGCTTTTCTCACTCTTGGCCCAAAGAAACCTAGGAAGAGCCCGAAGTTTTATTTGAGGAGTATATGAAAGTGTGAAATGCAAACCTACAACAATTGCCTCGAATTACACCCAAGAAGCAAATCTTCAGTCACTTATGAAATCCTGGTCTTAATTTTCAGCGACCCTTCCCTCACATTCTGTCAAACCACCAACACGTTGCATGAACGAGCAGCATCCAGACACTCAGCAGAAGACACTTGCCGCTGAGAGCTGAGGGTGGCATTAATTCCAAGTGCTGAAGTACTTTGTTGTAGGAACATTTCTTCAGAGTGCCTCTTGCTCTCTCAGTAGTGCTCCTCTACAAGCTCCAGCAGTTATTAGGAAATACTCTGCTAAGCATTCAGTAACAGGAAGAATTTAAAATGAAATACTTTTCTGGTTAAGTTCCCTGAGCTAGAACCCCAAATTTTGATCTGAAGAAATAAGAACCCTGCTCAGACAATTTAAAGTGATGCCAAATCCTCTTATGTTTCATCAGAGATTAAACCGAAAGTGATTCACATATGCCCTGAGGGCCACGTCCGGCGCTGAACACAACTCAGAACCCCACTCCTCCTCTGAAGGCTCAGCCTGCGGCCCCAAGCTCACGTTGCTGTGAGGGGCGCAGGAGGCCACGGGGGCTCGGGGCCTCTCCCACCACCAGCCCCTGCTTGGCTGTCGAGGTGCTGGCCTGGAAGCGGAGACCCTCGTCTCCTGCCACACAAAGAAATCCCAGTGAACAGCAGGAGCTAGAGCAGAGCAGCCTGAGATCTCCACCAGCATGGGTGTCCTTGAGTCCCTCCCCGCCCGCAGCATGGGTTGGGCAGGAGGCTGAGCATCTCTGCATCTCCTGCCCAGCCCCTTCCTGGGGTGCAGCAGCAGCTCAGGACCCCTCGCTCGTCACAAGCCAGTGATTCCCTGAAGCCATTTAACCATGAGTCATTTTTTTTGGGGGGAGGGAGGGGGCAGGGGACACACTACAAGGGGATGGGGGACAACGACGCAGGATGGGGCATCAGATCTCCTCTGAGGAAAACTGCTTTCCCAGAAGGTAAAAAAGAGAGCTCAGGATCCCCTCCTTCAGCATGGCCTGCAGGGAGGGTCAGAATGGGAAGGGGGCTTATGCATCCCAGCCTCGCACCGTGCCCCTGGGGTCTGCTGCACCTGCGGGGTCATTTTCCAGCCCCAGGCAAGGACCCACACCAGGGCCTTTGGCTGACAACCCACTGGACTGGTGCCTGCTGTGTCCTTGGGCTGGGGCAGGAGAGTGGAACAGCCACAGCAGGGGCCACAGCGTCTCACAGGGCACGTGGAAGGGAGGAGAAGGGCTTCCCCCTTCGCAAGGGGGATGCAGCAGCATGCCGAGCCAGGGAGGTGCGGGGCAGCAGGACCTGCAGGCAGCCTGGCCTCAAGGACAGGCCTGATCTGGGGCGGGCGGCTCAGCACGGGGGCTGGAGAGATGAGCTGGCTTACCGCCCTGCTTGCAGACATGGAGCAGACGGGGAGGGAAGGAGGGGGGGGGAGGGAGGAAAGAATGAAAAAAAAAAAAAGCACTTACAAAGCAGTTGAGCATAGAGCAGGAGACGCGGCCTGGCAGACTCATGTTCATTTCCAGAGGCGGCAGCTGGGCTGGGCGCACGCAAGGAGCATCTCCTTCCTTGGGCCTTTTGCTGCGGCCAGCAGCGGCTCCTGAGCCCTGGCGCAGGGATTTCCGCAGCCTCCCCGTGCCTCGGCGAAGGGCAGGAGCATCCCTGCAGCGGGCAGCCCGAGCAGGTGCCGCGCTCGGCTGCGCTGACAATGGAGGGAGGGAGGGCGGAGGACGGGCAGACTCCACCTACCTCCCAGGGAAGCGGAGCAGGGCTCTGCCATCCAAGCGTCTCCCTGACAGGCGAGACAGAAAATGGAGAGGCCGATGGGGATCACCCCTGCTCCCCCCGTCCCGTCCCCATGCTCACGGCCGGCACCTGGCCGGCGAGGACGTGTGGACACCGGCCCCGCTCCTCGGCGGGCTGCCGGGAGATGCAGTCCGGGCCTGGCGCTCCTCCCCGGCGGCACCTGGCTCCTGCCGCACTGATGGCGCGGGTGGGAATGCCGGGAACAATAGCGGCGAGGAGGCTTTGTGCTCCAGCCCGCTGCTGCAAACCTTCGCTTCGGCCTCTGGCAGCCTGACGGCTCCCTGCCAGGCCTGGGAGGTGAGGACAAAGGGGCTGCCCCGCTGCTCCACGGGGGTTTGGTCCCCCAGCCTTTACGTCCGCGCTGCCCAGCAGCTGCCAGGCGCAGGGATTTGCAGGATGTTTGGCTCCTACCGGCTCTCCTGGTGCTCATGTTGTGGCGCAGGCAACGGCACGGGGCCATCGGGTCCCCTCACTGCTGGCCTGGGCAGTGGCTCCGCTGGGGAGCTTCCCCACCGCCAGGTTTGCAATGGGTGCAGACACTGGGCGAATGCCTCCGGTGCAGGAGGCGCCGCGGGGCTGAACACCCAGCCCCTTCCCCTGCATCCCCAGGGGCTGACTCGCTCTGCCTGCCACTCCTCGTGCCCCACAGCAGACCATGGGCTCATTAGGTCCCAGCCCAGAAGCCACGGGACAGGAGCCTCTGGGGAAATGCTCCGTTCCCATCACCAGCCCTGCCTCCTGCTACTGAGGAGGCGGCTGGGATTATTTGCTCTCCCCTGCCCTGCTCGGCACTGAGCAGCAGCACTGAGCCTGGACAGCATCCCTCCTCAGAACTACTTTCCTAGCTGCTGCTTTTGAAGCCAAATTGCACCCTACAGAGCCACCGCATCTTGGTGACAGAGATTAGCATGCTGGAAATAAAGAGCAAAAGTGAGAATCTTTTGCTTGAAACACAAAAGGAACATCCAGCCCTTCATCAGTCCTCCAAGGCCCCAGGCCCAGGTCTTCTGCTCAGACCAGCTGGTTTCCTTCTGGGGCAGCGGACCAGAACACGGCTTTGGGCTCCCCAAGGACCCACTTGCCCCACAGTCACCACAAGACAGCTCTAACTGCCAACACCAACACAACAGCATCTCAAAAGGTTCTTTCAAGTCACATGAAAAGACTTGGGCATTTCTCCACAAAAATTGTTAAGGGTTAGATTGTTTTGAGCTGCCTTGCTCAAGGGACAGCTTTGCAACACCCAGATGTGCTGTCCTGTGTCACTGCAGGGCAGCAGAGCCCAGGCAATGAACTCCCTCACTGGGAAACCAAGTGAACCAACTACCCCAAAGGCCACACAGGCTACACTATTTGGATGCTGGACAAAAGCACAGAGGAAGAATAAGCCACAAAATCCCAGTAACCGTTACCATTGGTTCTGTCCTAGTCCAACATTTACTTGGTACCTAGTGGGTGTCACAGTAGACATAGCCTGGGCTCAGAGGCCCTTGCCTCCACGGGGCACCCTGGGCTCTCCTCTAACGGGGCTGCCTGGCAGGACATGGAGAAAGCACAGCCCCGAAGGCATCTGTGCTACATACGAGGTCAACACATCAGGAGAACAGAGGTTTATCCACAAGGTTAAGGATTTGTGTTGGCCAAATCTGAGCGGTTCCCCGGGGGTACTCCTCTTGGGTAAGTGCCAGAAGTCTGCTGAAAAAACAGAGCAGCAAAAGGTGGCAGAAGTCTTTTATGCTGGAAAGAAAGTATAGCTATAAAAGACATAAAACATCTTTTCTTTTCTGATATGCATTGGGGAAAAGCAAAATACATCTGTCAATACGTAAAGCACTGAAGTCTCTTTGGTGGAGTCAATGCACACATTGCTCTTTAACGTACTGAGTGCATAGAATGTATGAGTCGTGTTTACAACACACAAAATTATGGACAAGGCAAGTAAGCAAGCTGCTCTGAGACTTTCCGGACCAGCTGGTCAGGACACAGAGCTCAGCTCAGGGCCCAGCACAGGGGCTGCTTCCAGCTCAGGTTGCAGAGGGACCTTTACAGACCTAAGCTGCAGCTGCGCAGAGTTAAGAGGTTGTTTGTCAGATCATTACTTTGAATTTCCAACCTAAGCTGACCTGAACATCCACAAATAGATTTTCCCCTGCTTCAACAGAAATATTTTTTGCATTTGCAGCATTAGAAGAGAACTCACACACAACTCGGATTTGTGCCCGAGAGCCAAGTCTGGGGCTGAGCAGACCCAGCCCCAAGCCTTAGCAGCATGTCAAGAGCCTGCAGAGTTTCAAACTCCACCACTTTCACCTCTTCCTACCGCAAATTTAGCCTCCTGAGTCATCCTAGTTCACAAAATATCTGTTCTCACATCCGTGCAATCAAACAGCTGCAGCACCGAGCAGGCTCAGGGAGTACAGGGCGCCGACAGCCTCCTTTTAGCTGGCTTAACTCAAGGGATTTCCTAAATGCCAAGTCAGATGTCTCCCCAGCCGAGCAGCTGGCGTTCCCTCCATTATCACTAAAAACCGTACGACTGAACTGGGAAGACAAGGTTATTTTCACGTAACTGGGCTCCTCTGAGTGTCTTGCACATGTACATTTATGCTGGGGAAGAGAGAAACCTCCCGCAT